ATTTATCACTAAGTATGAAAGTATCACAAAGTATGAAATCCAGAGGACCTCCTTGGCAGAGACTCCCATATCCTCCAACTCCAGAGAAAATTGAACTATCAATCTAAGTCTCTTGCCAACATCAAGACCCTGGTTGAGAATTATTGAAATCTGAGATTTGGGCTGGGATATAATTGGGTCAATGCACTTGAAAATCCTGAACCCTGAGGTTCCCTTGAAAAATCTAGTCTGCTCTTCACAGGTAAAGGTTTGAACTCGCCTCTTGCCTGAAAACCAAACAGTAATGTTTGCCTTAGAAGACAACATATATCCCTGCTTAGGATATACTCCAACTCTCTTCCTGGCCATTATGCTGACAACTAGGTCTAGGTTACAACACAGCCCAGCTGAGTTAACTGTGACCTAAATTTGGTCATTAGCAAATGGCCAGTAGGAGAGGTAGGGTATATCCTCCATCCAAGGGAGCTGCAGGAGCTAGCCAACAACATGTACCCCCAGGAGACAGGAGAGAACACCTGGGCCTGGATTCTGAATGTGCTGGTTGAGAGGGATATATGAAACATAAAGTTAGGAAGCTGGGAAGTTGGGAAGGCATGAAACATGAAGTTAGATAAGGGAAATGTTATTGAAGAACATTTTCCCCTTATATGGATTTGATTTACTGTCAAGGAACCTGCAAGATGCTACCACTAGTATGATGCTAGGGTGACTAGCAGAAGCTCAGACAAGCAGTAGCCCCCATAGAAAGTGCTTCTGCCAGATGCAGGACATCTGCAGGAGATTTTTTTATTATTATTATTATTTACTTAGGTACTGGGGATTGGACCCAGGGGTACTCTACAACTGAGCATATCCCCAGCCCTCTTTAATCTTAAGACAGCGTCTTGTTAATTTGATGAGGCTAGTCTCAGACTTGGGACCCTCCTGTCACAGGCTTCCAAGTTACTGAAGATTGCATGGTTTCCACACACCTGGCTTCTGCTGGAGAATATTAACATGATTGATGGGACACCTCATATGTAAACCATAACACATTTATATGGGACAGATAATTAGACATATTAATATACTTTCTCTGAGGCTGTGCTAACTCTCCCACCCTCTGTCATAGAATAAAAAAAAAATCTGGAAATCCCAAATAATGATATCAATCCAGTATATTAGTGACAACATGTTTATCTAATCAGATTAACAAAAAGTGACAAATCCATTAGAAGTCTTGGTAAGTCACATGTAATTCACTGATGGGATATAAATATTTCAATGACTCAGTAAGTGGTTTTTTTTGCTTATTTGTTTGTTTGGAGGGGGGGTAGGATAGAAAAATTTCTAGCATTAAAATTATTTCAAACCAAATAAGTGGCAGATGCCTGTAATCCCAATGACTCCAGAGGCTGAGGCAGAAGGATTTCAAGTTTGAAACTTAGTAAGACCCTCAGCAATTAA